ACAATTTGTACTTTATATTTATGATAACACGAGGAGATAATTTTGACATTGAAATGTATTGGGTTTTCGCACGTAATGAAAATTAAATTGTGAATTCATAATGTCACTTGCTTAACTCAAGTTTAGTCGACCTAATTTTTTTTCTAAAGAAATATAAAATGGTGTCTTATTCATTAATATTATAAAACAAAAGAATTTTTACTATGAATTAATGAAATAACTATTACCTTGTTTTTTTTTTTTTTTTTTTTTTTTTGTTTTGTTTTTTTTTTTTTTTTGTTTTTTTTTTTTTGTTTTTTTTTTTTTTTTGTGGACTGCCTCTTAAGATGTGGACATTTGATAAAAAAAAGTATGACTTGCCTTTTTTTTAAGGATGGAGTTCGCAAAGGAGGTCTTGTTAATTATTGGCATCTGTCTTTATCTAATTCTCGTTCCTACAATATATATTTTCCTGTTTCGAGAAATTTACGGAGAAATTGAGGGATCATTGCAAGTAAGATTACTGATGCTTTCCTTCAAAACATCTTTGCTAACTCTAGTTGAAATAATACTTGCTTGCTAAAATAGTGCATTTCAGTAACAAAAAGGATATTTTCAGCAAACATGATTAGAAATTGTGATTTCAAAATACTACAAAGTATAACATTGGGATGACATATTGTAGAATAGTAAATAATTTAATTTTGGTTGTAACGCGCCTTGGATAGAACATTTGTTTATATACTGTAACATGTGTTGCCTATGTCATCATGACTGATGTAAAAATGCAACGATCAGCTTGAAGTTACGACAACTTTGTATAATTAATGGCTTGCATTATTAATGTGAAAATTGTCCATTGTTTTACAATTACTAGGAAATTAAATTATAAAGAATATATTTAATAGCTAATGAAAACTCTAAGTGAAACTTTGTATAACCTGGTTCGGATCAATTTACGCCTTTTTAAGCGCTTCATAGTTTATTAAGGAATGCTTATAAGTTTTGTATGAATTATTGGTGTGTAAATCACACAGACTTGTCACGTAGGCATATTTCATGTGTGTGTGTGAGGGTGTGTGTGTGTGTGTGTGTCGATATATCGAAATGTCGAGTTGAAGGTGACAGCAAGTGTTTTTTCTACTTATCATGTAGATGTTTTTTTAATAAATTCTGCTTCATATGAATACAAAAATAGGTCTGCTAAAAAGGAGGAGCAATTGGTTCACTTTTAAACTTAACGAAATTTCTTTTTAAATTACTTAGATACAGGTACATGTATAACAATGCCAAGCTTTGGTTTAAATCATCTCGTGGAAAAAAATATTCCCTAACGGAGTATGTTATCGCCATACATGTAAGGGCAGTAGGAATCTTATGATCAATTCATTATATATGTAGTTTGTACAGAACATTTGTACACATTTCATATATGAAGTCTATTACACTAACAGAAGCGAAACGAATCTACTCAAGAATCTTGGCATTTGCGTCCAAGGTTGTAATTTCATAAAGAATACTTTTGAAATTTAAAATATTTCAATATACAGCAAATGGATAGGAGAGAAAAGTGAATTTAAGCTAAAAAATCCTAAGAGTCATATAACTGACGTTTATCGAAAATAAGGAAAATGTATTTCATATGTACACAGTGTACACATATGTACACAGTGTACAATACGAGGATCGGAGTTCGAGATAATATATTCGAATGTTTGACGATATGCATTGTAGTTATTACTTTTATCTTTGAATTTCAGGAGTCTTCACAGAGTCAAGGTCCATCGTTGTTTAAGTGATTTGGTAGAAAACCCAAACACACAATGTCAAGAACACCAGATGAATTTAAGGCTAAAGTCGACAGTACAATACATCAAGTAAAGTTCCTACTCGTTCTTTCAGTTGTTTTTATTACAGACCCTAAAACGTGCTACTACACCACTTGCACGGTTCGGTTCGTTTCGTTTTGTGTACGGTACGGTACGCTTCTTGCACGGAACGGTACGCTTTGTGAACGGTACGGTTCGCTTTGTGCACGGTACGGTACGCTTCTTGCACGGTACGGTTCGTTTTGTGTACGGTACGGTTCGCTTTGTGCACGGTACGGTACGCTTCTTGCACGGAACGGTTCGTTTTGTGAACGGTACGCTTTGGTGAACGGTATGTAAATTAAGTGGGCGGAGCCTGTTCACTTTAGTTTATGATTGGTTAATTAATAAAGTCGTTTATTTCTTTATTTTAATCTCTTTATTTTTTTTTACAGCTGAATTTTCGTTATTACATGTAACTAGTCGACTTATTTACCTAAATTTTTTTTAATTTACTTTCTGTATGAACTACTTTCAATATTCAAAATAATTTTAGTTTTCTATTTATTATTTTGTTTTGTACACCATCGCCTTATGGTTCAATAACGTGGAAATAAATCAAACATATCAACGAACACTGTATAACAAGGATGAAAAAAAAATATTTTGGTTGCGTCGCCATAAAGGCCTTTCTGTATTTTTTTTAAAAGAATCAGCGTACATATGTTTTTTTTTCTTTTAATTTTCCTTATTGAATACAACTATTATTTTAAATATTCACTTATCACACTTTTAAACAAATGAGTTTGATTTTATAAATCCCTCACGCTTTCATTTCGTCTACCATTCTTTTTACGTTCTTGTCACTGTTGCTTCATTTAAAAAAACAAACAAACAAACAGAAACAAAACAAAAACGAAAACATTTTTTCTCTTGACCAAATGATCAAACAAACAATAAAAAAAATAAGTTATTATTTTCATTTTTATTTACGAGGAATTATGTATTTTTTTTTTTACATAGATTCCTTAGGTTTTTTGCTCACTAGGAAAAATACATTGAAAAGTAGAAGTGCACACAATTAGTGCAAAATATATCTTGATTTTTGTGCGCGTAATTGGCTGCAAAGACAGATTTCCGAACTAAATAATATGTCAAAATGTTATAAATAAATAGTCTGTTTTCAATTACCTAGAAAATAAATAATATGCAGTCCTCAAAAACTTTGAAAATGAATAGTTTGCCCATGCCGGGTGCTCCCCCCCCCCCGCCCCCCCTGTTTCCTTTTCAAACTCAAACTTTTTTTATTTAAGTTCTAGAGGAAAAGCTGACTGCACATGAAATTCTGTTTATCTGCAGATTAAAATGGTTCATTGTTGTAGATTTACTGTTTAAGACAGCAACTGTTGATACACGTGTGAATGTAGGCATATCTGGACTAAGGGGATTAGATACGGTTTAATATACACAGCTTAAATTTTTACCTGTGCACGTGTGATGACAATATTTGATCGAAATTTTCAAATGTTTTAGAGTAAATAACGAAAGTGTAGAAAGACGTCAGTCTAGATAACGAGACCATGGCAAGAAATGCACAGCGTTTCTTTAAAAAAAAAAAAACTTGGATGAACACGCATGCACGGACTACGCATGAAAAAAAAGATTAAACTGGGCTTTGTGTATAAATTCCATGGCAAGAAATGCACAGTGTTTCTTTAAAAAAAAAGACTTGGATGAACACGCATGCACGGATTATACATTAAAATAAAAAAAATTAAACTGGGCTTTGTGTGTAAATTCTAAGTGAAATATTTTTACCTGCAGGTTTCAGTGAATAAAGCAAAAAAAAAAAAAAAAAAAAAAAAAAAAAAAAAAAAAAAAAAAAAAAAAAAAAAAAAATATATATATATATATATATATATATATATATATATATATATATATATATATATATATATATATATATATATATATATATATATATATACATATATATATATATATATTTAAAATGAAATGGGAAAATGCTTTGAATAAAAATTAACTCTGACATATATCCAGATTTTTTTTTAATTACGTGTATTAAACTGAAAATTCCATGCGAAAATGTGGCGATAGAACTTTTTCATAGAATGTTATATTGGCGATAACATCTTGGGTAGATCAGAGGAGTGTAAACCAACACATATGATTTATATATACATCGCTTTTATTTTTTTTTTCTAGTGATTTTGACATGTCCGCTTTCAAATTGACAATTTAGTTCGTAATTTTTTTAAAATTATTTTTGTTGCTAAATCTGTAATCATTTCTCCCTAAAACTATTACTTACATGAATAGAAAATGATTTTAAGGGTTTGATTTCGGAAAATAGCACAGGATCCTAATACATTTTTGCAATGTGTCTTGGTTTCCGAGAACGTTCATAGAGACAAGAATAGGGTAGATAATAGCTAAAGAAATAAACGATAAAGTATTTAATTCACTTTTATTTATTACAAATTGTACACGAAAATATTACGATGCTGCATTTAATATGAAAAAATGTTAGTCAAGCACAACCCGATCATGCATAGCGAATAAGGAATCCCCTCACACTCTGTCGAGTTGTTTTGAAGTCGTAACTAGTTTTGAGTAGTTTCCTTATATTAACAGATGTAAGTCCAGATGCATGGTAATTAACAATAATATTTTGAATCCCTAGGGTTATTTTCCGTCCTTCTTTAACAGGCGCTGCATCGAAAGAAATAAAAGAAAATTACTTACTGTATTTGGTCATTCGGAATGCTTTCGGGGCGTGGCTTGCATAATTATTTCAAAAATTATTCATGAACGGTACGGTTCGCTTTGTGCACGGTTCGGTACGCTTCTTGCACGGAACGGTTCGTTTTGTGTACGGTACGGTTCGCTTTGTGCACGGTACGGTTCGCTTTGTGCACGGTACGGTACGCTTCTTGCACGGAACGGTACGGTTTGTTTCTGAGGTGTAGTAGCACGTTTTAGGGTCTGTAGTATTTAAATGGCCTTTAAATCTTAAATTTAATGTAGAACTGAAGTGAATCATGTATCGGATTTTATTATTTTTTTTATTATCTAGATTTTAATGCTTCGGTATACAAATAGGACAATTTAATTGCATTTCAGTATAGTATCAATATAATGATTCTGTGGTATATTAATGAATAAAAAAGTTTCTTCTATTTGAAGGTTTTTGACCATGTGTCTTGGATCCCTGGTATGACAATTGCTGTTGTGAAAAAATCACAAATTTTGTTCATGAAAGGATATGGAAAAACAGCAATACATTCGGAAACTCCTGTTACCGAGCACACGCTGTTTCTACTCGCTTCTATTTCCAATTCTTTTGCATCAACACTACTTCTAAAGCAAATGGAAAACCAAAATCCTCCGTAAATATTTTGATACATTGTAACAGCTTGAATTCCTCCAAAAATAAAGTTAAAAGATTCAACGATTAACTATGTGTATGTTTAAAATGAGAAGAAAAAGTAAGAAAATGACTTTGAAACCTCATGTTAACAAATCTAAAAGTAAAATAAATTAAACAAAATGCAGTAATAGTTTAAGCACCATTTATAAACATCATTTTTTTGTAGGCTGGACCTCTCCACTAAAGTCAGAGACATGATGGAGGTTGATTTTGTCTTCTTTGATGAAGAACGAACTCAAAATGCTAACTTAGTGGACGTTCTAGCACACAGGATAGGAAGCCCTGAACATAACTTTTTACGACTAGATTCTTCCTTAACTAGGGCAGATTTACCTAAGTAAGAAAAAGAACATTATTCTCTTAGGGTTTGATATTTTGAATGCAACAAGCGCAAGGAAGCCAACATGATTTTTATGTAAAACTTCTAAAACGTCTAAACCTTTACATAGGCATGCAGAGCTTTTTACATGCAATCCTTTATTGTATTTTAAGACACATTGATGTAGAAAATCCCAAAAATGTTTGATCATAATTTTAAGAGAAGTTAATTATTTTTACCTTTAGTAGAAATATATGTTTTAAGGGATTGTCGGGGAAGAAGTTTGATATCAGATTACCTGTATATGTTTATGCATAACAGTATAGATTATGTATTATCAAATACATACTTTATAATTTGTATGAAATGTACTGAGATAATGAACAGTATTCAAGCTCAAAAGCCCATCAAACAATACAAATTTTGGAGCAGAGCAAACACGGACCTCCAAATATCCAAGGGGGGGATCAGGTGCCATGGAGGAGTGAGTATCCCCTGCCAACCGGTCACACCCGCCGTGTGTTCCTTGTCATGATCGGAAAATGAGGGAAAAACCCGTGGACAATTCAGTGTTTAAATAATGGCCTAACTATTAGTATGAAAAACGTCAGTCAGTATTTGATTTAATGATAAATTGTATTTGCTGATAAAGTCATTGAATCAACCATAGAAATTACGAAATGACGACCTTAAACGAGTCTGCTGATATTATTGTTTCATCAACTTGTTCGTCAATAACGTACCCCGGTTTATAAATTGTTCATACGTAGAACAAGCTCTTGCGTATCGAATGAACTGAGAAATATAAACCTCGTATGCAGGTGAGGAAGGTATATTGCTGCATAAGTAAGGGAAGTTGACGATTGGAAAGTTAAAGTCATCACGTTTATCATAAACGTCTTTTTCTAGTAAAATATCCTAATATGAAGCAGATGTGTAAGACTCAGTGATATATTTCAAGCTCACCGGGATATATCATATCGACATAAGAATGGAAATACCCCATAGTTATATCTAGATGTCGAGTTGAAGGTGACAGCAAGTGTTTTCTTCTTTTCATGTAAAAATTTCTGAACTAACGCTACTTCATATGAATACAAAAAATAGGTCTGCTCATAAGGGGGCGCAATTGGTACCCATGGGAATTCCAATAGATTGTTGGAAGACCTGGTCTCCAAAAACCACATATATAATGTCAGTCAGAAGCTCAAGCATCTTTTCAATATCAAATTCAGGCGCCCGTTTTACAAAAGAACTCACGACTAAGACCAAAAAACTGTAGTTGCTTGTAAAATCTTGCAAAATAAATAATTTTGTTTTAAAATTTTATTCATAAATATATATTCCAAAATTCTCTTTCAAAAGATCAAAACGATTTCCAAATTGATTTTATAATAATAGTTATTTACAAAATTATATTTTTGTCTTAGTCGTAAGTTCTTTCGTAAAACGAGGCCCTGAGTACTTGTGTGTACAAACAGAATGTTTTTTTTTTACAAAAAAAAAAAAAAAAAAAAAAAAAATTGCAAATGACCAATGACAAGGTAAGTAAATTGATGAGTTACATTTTTACTGAAAAAGCAACTGCCAATGATATCAACATGGGTGGACTTTAATTTATCGTGGGGAATTGTTGAATATAAAGTTGAAAAGTCGTAAGATTTTTATGTTGTTGATTTTTTTTTTTTTTAAATTTTGTGATTTCAAATGTTCCAAAAGTTCCTTGGAATTATTAAGTATACACATATGATTTACACCACTGCTCGAATATATTGTTGCACAGTACTCCTGAAGTTTCTCCTTCAATACTGTTAATATTTTAGTGAGGAGTAAATAAAGAGCCTTGGTAGAACATTTACTGGAACCCGCTATATATCTTTTTTGTAAGGATTTTAATGAAGCTTAGGAATCCATTATAGATATGGTAATTCGAATTCTTGTTAGTTGTTGGAAATATTATAAAATATTCAAAACTGACATATGGTTTTGAAGAAATTCCTGCTTATAAAGGGAGCTATGGGTATAAATTGGATTACCACTTGTTGAATTAAATCCCAGTTCTTCTAAAATACAATTTAAATAATGAGCCATACAAACACAGACAATGTTGTTACATGCTTTGTCAGCAGGGACCAGTATATACTGATCGTGTAATCTATTCAACTCTTTTTTTACTTCTGAATTATTAAACACAGAAGGATAGCTGGTTTTCATTTTGCCCCTCAATCCTTTGATGCGAAATTTTAGCAAACATTCGATACATTTAATCCATTCTGACAACATTTCAAGGTCATGTCTGGCCCATCCCCTGGCGTAATCTTCCGCAGAATCCATGATAATTTTGAAATTTTGACGCCAGTTAAAAGATCGGAGTTCCCCAAATTTTGGCCCTTTTAAAATTAATGATTTAAGGTCTTCATTATTTACTATATTTGCAGCACAAGTTATTACGTGTCAAGTAGGACTATAGTTGTAGAGTGGAGAAGAACATGAACAGGAAGGAGGATTATCTATCAGATGTTCAATATCCAGGCTCTGTAAAGTTTTCTTGTAATTTAAATGTTTGGAACGTTTGGAAGCAATAGTCGATGTATATATGTAGGAAATACAAGGTGTAGTCTTCAGCTTGAAATATATGGTGGAATACAAGACTGGAACTTTTTGTGATTAAGAATATTACTTAATATATTAATCGCGTCAATTCGTTTGTTGGCATGTTAGAGTTTAAGGAAAAAAAACGGGTTGTTTTAGCTGTATTTTCTTCTGTTAAACGTGGCAGTTTAAATAGCAGATTATTTGCAATATCCATAACCACAGATCCAAGCCTGTATTCTGATGCTGAGGAACAAAAATGGACTTTTATTTAGATTTCAACCATTTATTATTTTGAAGAGATTTTTAAGAATGTCGCTTACTCGAGGTTTTATTAGACAGAATATATAGGTCTCAAATAAAAAAAATCATATCTATATCAAAAATCAATGTTTTACTATTTAATAAAATATTGTAGCATTGAATTTAGATTAATGGTAATGAAGTGAAATTCGAACTAAATTTTCCATTTTTTCCGAAATAATTTTCTTCAAACATGGGTTTCTTTAATATTTATGTCAGTTCTTTTCGAAAATAGTGTCTTTTTTAAACCTCGCGCATTTATTCAAATAATTGGAAGACTTGGACATAATGATGCATTACAGTATATATTTTGCATAATCAGATCCAATAATCTAGAAAATGCGTATATTTCGAATTAATTTAACAATTAAATTTAAGAAAGTAAGAAATTAAGTGAATGCATTTTTAATATATAAGAATGACGCATACTCAGTTGACACTTTGAAAATCCATGACACACATCTGACATTCGTGATATATTTAAATATCATTATTTGCCGTTGTGAGAAAGATTTTGTCTGCCTAGTCGAATAAATATTTATTTTCATCAAGAGTAAAATGAAATCCTGGGGATACGTGTATTATCGTTCAGTTTAAAACATTGCCCTTTACAAAACCTTTGAATCAGAGGATGCCTTACTCATTACATTGTAATCCAATTTTTGATTTATCTTGGAAGATGTGGTTTTACTCTCCTTTAATTGGCACTGATATTGAATAACACTTTTCTTTATATAACACTCAAATGCAGTGTTTACTCAAGTCAATCATTTCAGCGTAAAATAACAACAGTTATTTGCAATTGTGCAACGTAGAAAATCCACCTCTGAGATAATAAATAAAAATCTCAATGTAGAAGTGGTTTTCTCAATTCTTTCTGATGTTTGATGCATGGATTTAAAAATATCGTCTTAAATATTTACCATTAGATGAAATTCTGTCAAAAATTTGTCATTTTCAGTGGGAATTTTTGGGGTCATGTTTGAAATTCCTTATGAAATAAGTATATTCCAATATCCTTCATCGATAGCAATGTTAGGATGAAAATATTGTGCATTGCCGAAATTATACAGTGGCCATTTTTGTCGGTATAATCTTTGTTATTAAATGCTAAGATCTGGTGATGCATTAAGTTGTAATTTATTTAGATAACTGCCTGAAAATAAGGACATGCAAGAAGGAATTATTTAACAAAATAGAAATCAATTAGGACTTGGCTATGTACACTGAGTACCTGGTGGGTTTTTTTTCTTTTTTCTTATTTTTTTTTTTTTTATTTTGCTTTCTTTTTTATAAAAAAGAAAAGTAGGCACATTAAATCCTTTTTGACTGAATTCAATGTATCATTAACAAAATAATACAATTCTTACAAAGGATCAAAATGGTCTTATATTCTATAAAAGTGAAAGGAATATAAGCATGATATATCTTTTTTCTGCAATATCGTGTAGAAAGAAGAAGTGCACTTACGAACTCCTGTAAAAGGTGAAAAAAAATGAAGATTCAAATTAAGCATAATTTTTCAACTCAAATCAACTGATATCTAAACCATAAGATCCAACAAATTTTAGCGCTGAAATTCATGTTTATACAAAGAACAAAGCCATACAATGTGGTAGGGGTCAGCCGACATTTCTGATTTTCTATAGTAAATCGGGGACGGACAATCATTTCAAAATCTTTGTTTATTGTCAGCCTAACATTATAAAAACCTGTGTTAAAGAGAAAAGACGCATTATACATTGATAAAACTTGTGTGAAAGTATGGAATTTTTATTAACATTAGGCTTACTCAAAATATGAAAAGAATTGAAAAGTTCAATATCTTTCCCATATCAAGCGAGAGTTACCTGAGTGACCTTTGTTGAACCCACTTGTAGAATAAATTATTTTAAACAGTCACGTGAGTTCTACCTAGTAAACGTCCCTCAAAAGTGCTAACCTAAAACTGTCACATTTTATATCGTTCGCCAAAGTCGAACTGCTTTAGAGATGTTTGTCTGTATTTGGTTTATGAAAAACGGGAGGTAAATAGAGATTTGTGTCGTTTAAAATGTCATCAAACAAAAAAATGTCAATCATTTTTTAACATTAATGAAAAACGATGGTACTGGTATTGAAAGCCATAATATTACGCAGTTATAAATAACTACAATAAATTATATGAATGATGCACATATATTTGACATCAGGATAATCTATTAAAGCTTCAAAGCTTGCTTCCAATGGGTTTCTTAAAAATACATATGGGAAAAAATATTAATCAATATCATTCGCCAAACGCGCCCGTCGATGATCCACCACCAGGTTGTTCAAGTGCCAATTTAAATGCCCCCCTCCCCATCTAAATAGACGAAACTCAAATAGGTTAGGTGCGACTTTTCCAGATTTGGGGTACAAATAGACATTTAAAAATCTCCAATTGCTTAAAATCCATGCTGATTAAGGTGATGTTTAACGAGATTGTAAATTAGAAATATCCAAAAGTGTTTCACTATTACCAACATAGAAGGATTTGGTAATATATTCTGTATTAAAACGGCACTTTCTTAAGTGCACTTGTCCTTTAAGCCTTCAGTAGTACTCTTTTCTCTGCCGGACTAAAACTGATGTAACGCGGTAGCCTATCTGTAGGGCTATTGTTTCGTGATTAGAAGGGTCCAGATTCCATTTTCCCTCCCTTAATATAAGCTCAACTTAGCTGAAAGATGAGTACGTCCGTCGGTCCATCTGTATACTTTTCACATTTTCAACTTCTTAAGTACCAGTGCGTCAATTCTAACCAAGTTTGCCGTTAAATATCCCTATGTGAAGGAAATTCATTTCTTCAAATGAAGATCAATGTCACTTTTCAAGGGGAGATAATTAATAATAAGTAAATATTTAAAATTGCATTTCTCAAAAATCTACCTCACTAGAACCACTGGTTCAGAAAAATTGAAACATATAAAATCTTCACTATTTGGTGTAGATTTTTTTCTCTCTCAAATCCTGACCCCCAGGGGTACGGTGAGGCAACATTAGGTCATCAACGTTTTACATTGGGCAATATAAGAAAAAAAAATCTTTAAAATCATCTACCCAAGAAAAGCAAAGCAATGAATACTAGTAGTCATATTGATATAAAAGCATCCTGGGGAAGATTCAACTTTATATTCAAATCATTACCCCAGAGCGTGGGGTGGATCAACAATTGGGGATCGAAGTTTTACATGTGAATATATAAACAAAATCTTATAAAGTCTTCTGAAGAAGAACAATTATGCCATGATTAGTCAGTCATATAAATTCAGAAGTATCCTCTGGTAGTGTAGTTTTTAGTTTATTCAAGTCATGACCCCAGTGGTAGGGTGGGACCACACAGGCCATCAAAAATTTATATAGTAATACAAAGGAAAAAAACTGAAAATCCTTTTCTCAAGAACGACTGGACCAAAAGCTTTAAGATGAATACGAAAGCTTCATTACCTAGTGGGTTTTTTTCATATGTTTAACGCCCCTATCGAGAATTTTTACTGAAATGGACATACCACAACTTGCTAGTTGAGTGCTACAAATTTTAGACCTTTACTCGGTAGATAGGGCCATTGAGAAGTGAGGGATCGTTTTTGTGCCAGCAACAACTGTGACACAGGACATCGGTTTTTGGGGTCTCATATGAAGGATTGGTCTCCACGTCCCGCAATAGCATTCGAACCCGCTTCTAAGGATCAACTCCTTACTCCTCGTCTCTAGAGTGAACTCTCTAACCACTGCACTACGCAGGCGACTTTATAACCTAGTATTAAATAAAGGTTGTTCAAATCATGAACGTCGGACAAAGAATTGGGTCACAATGGGGAATCAATGTTTTACATAGAAATTTATAGCAAATCTTCAAATATCTTCTTCTCAAGTACAACGGACCCATGATTAAATTGAGCCATAATGCATTTACAGGTAATGCAGATTCAAATTTGATCAAATCATTACTTTCCGGAATAGGGTGAGTGATTAAAGTTTTATATGGAAATACATAGGAAAACAATCATTAAAGTCTTCTCAAGACAGCAAAGTCATTATAAGTCATATTGATAAAACATCCTCAGAGCAATCAGAGATTGAACATTCAACTTTGTTAATGCAAGTGAGTTAAATCTAGGTATAGGCATTTATGTGCAAATAAACTTATTAAAATGCCTAGGGACTATACATATTGCACAGGAAATATTTGGTACTCACGGCATGATATAACCAGTACTTATATGACATCATTGTTCTTTACAACACAAGATAATAAAGGACATCAACAAAAATACTTCGATAAAACAGGGTTAATATACTGTCCGGTATAAGTTTCCTCAAATTCAGATCAAAAGAGAAAATGCCTAGGTTTATGCAGCAGTTTTATTAATTCATAGAATATTCTTCTTAACATTATACAATTTTTATATAAAATTAAATAGGATAATCCCTTGCGCCGAAGATGTTTTGTTGATGTGTTTTATTCCTTCCAGTGGGTAAGAACAATAACGTCATAATATGACGTCATTATGTGTACTGAAATTAACATATCGTGGGTACTAAGTATGTATAAGGAAATGAATAAAAAACTTTTTCTTAATAATAAATATACTTATTATGCCTTTTAAATAGTTCATTTGCATAGAAAGGCCTATACTTAGCCTTAACTCACTTGCGTAAATCATTACCTCAGGGGTAAGGTTGGTCCACATAGGGGTATCAACGTTTTGCATAAGAATATATGGGAATTATCTTCCAAAATTTTGGTCTGAAGAACAGAAAAGCCATGATTTGTCCTATTAATATGAAATCATTCTTGGGTCGTGTAGATTCAAGTTTATTCAAATCACCACCCAAGGGATTAGGATGGGATCATTTGTGGATTTCTGTAATTAATTAAATTGCTTAGCTGAGCGATGTAGCCCATGGACTTCTTGTTGCAATATACAATAGCACATTAATACATTTAAAACAACGTAGCATATATTGAACAAATATACGAAATATGTTATTCCAAATGTAAATATATGCGACAAGTAACAAGTGCAATAGTCACCAAGCCCTAATTCTCGACTTTGATAAATAAAAAGTAATGGCATGTATTGAAAGATTGATGCATTGCTCAAGAAGAAATTCAAAGTCTCATTGGGTTTTGAATTCATTATTTCTTTAAAATTCATTAAAACTCACAAACCTTTGAAGTCACAGTTTGTAAATGTATCTGTGATTATGAATTTATTATATCTTTAATATGTTATATTCTATAAAGATAATGTAATTCTTTGAACACAATTATACGCTTTTTTAAAAACATTTAACCATTATTTCAGATAAACAATTCTTTGAGCATACGTGAATTGAACATAAATCCTGTCGGTAATTTGTCAAGCAGCTGTAAAGCTACTTTTACTAAAATTGAGAAATTGTTATCTGCCTTATATATAATTTTTTTCTTAGGCAACTGTTTTGTAAAATGCCTTTTGATTGGATAATGCACTGATGTTATTTAAGTAAAGAGTAAAAGCTTTTGCCTGGGACATCATAATAGAGCGACGCCGGTAAATCTCATTTTCGGCCGTTAATTCAGCATTAACGGTCGCAAAAACCAAATTAGATTTTCTTAAAGACTTAGGTCAGTCGAGCCACGACCTTCTGATCACTGAGCGACCCCTTTACGGACTTAGCGTACGTGCTAAGAGGTTATGGATTGATTAACGAAAATCTTTTTCATTAAAAATAGATGAAGGAGGAAATATTCAGTAGATGAAAATGTATAAGAAAATATTTATATGTTTTATTAGGCTTTTTAAAGATATGACACCGATGAAGAAATTTAGAGAATCGTCTGTCTATTCCTGCATGATGTATGGATTTGCAACATACCTGTCAGAGAAACTCGGAAATGGTCAACCATGGGGAGATCTCGTGGCATCGGAGATCTTTGATCCTCTTCAAATGACGTTTTCAACGGTCGTTACAAGACTGCAATCTCTAGACAATGCTGCACAAGGATATTTAGAAAGATCATCATTAGCACCAGTTCCACTTGAATTTATCAGGTAAATATTTGGTGCTTTGGGTTCGCTCGGGGTCCGTTATTTAAAAATGGGGTTCACTGTGCGTTCACTTGGGTCAGCTCTGGGTCCGTTAGAGCGAACCCGGCGTTCGCTTTCACTCAAGCGCGAAGTGGACCCCCTTTTATCCTACCGCCTGTACGTCCTGCTCCTTGTATATTCCAAATATACAGTACAGTAGTTCAAATTATTCTTTGTTGCTTAGTGGCGATAGAAAGTAGGTATACCTGTATAAGTGACAAACGGAGGACGTTATTAAAATTACCAGAATACAATCCTAGATGTATTTGCTTCATATCAAAATTATCACTAAGCGAGAATGGATTCGGCAAGATAAAAATTTGCATTGCAATCTTTTGAGAGGAAAAATTTATGTTTGATTTTTTTTTTTAATTTACATTAATATTTTTAATACTTGAGTGAACAAGGGTTGCTAAAAATATTTCGGCCAGTTGACAGTAATTTACGGGCAAATATTTGTTTACGTTCAGGAATGTTGTATACATGTGTTTTATTAAATAGCTATGGATTGATGACGAAAACACAAAAATCAGGTACATTTACCTTAAAAATAAATAAATGAATGAAAAAATAAATATACCCATTTCTTTTTTTCATTTCTTTTTTTATTAAATCAATTATTGAATCGTGTTAAAATTAAAAAAAAAAAAATAAGTGGCAGTCCAATTGACGAGAAAAAGATTGATTTTTATTTGTTTGTTTGTATGTTGTTTAACGCCCCTCTCGAGAATTTTTCACTCATATGGAGACGACACGACTTGCCGGTGGAGTGCTGCAAATTTTGTCCTATACTCGGCACTTACGGCCACTGAGCAGTGAGGGATCTTTTTCGTGTCAACAACTACTGCGACATGGGAAATCGGTTTATACGGTCTCATCCGAAGGAGCAGTCTCCACGTCCCACAGTGGGATTAGAACATGCGACGTAAGGATCAACTCCTTACTCCGCGACTTTAGAGCAGAGGCTCTAACCACTGGCCATGCGGGCGACAGAAAGAGATTGAAATGATTTGTTTGTTTGGTACAGTTTTAGTTTGGTGCTCCGACTTTTTTTACCGAAAAGGAAAATTAATACATGCATATGCGCACTGTAATAAATACGCATTAAATTCTTTTACATCGACTTTCTTCATTAGCATGCCCCCATCTCCCCCCCCCCCCCCCAAAAAAAAAAAAAAAAAAAAAAAAAACTGCTACAGTAAATTAAGTAGCAAGGAAAATGATCACTTCTTTATTAGCGGCATGAGATCTAACTTAATTATAAGTTTTATACATTCATAAAAGTCCTATCTATACCGGGAACCTAAGGAGTTTGGAGGGGTATGAAAGGTGAAATTGTTAGGGGAGCTATACTTAGGTACACCATGATCATGGTAATGGGATATACACCCTTTAACCAAATGTTGGTTAAAAAAGACGGAAACTTCACTGCTCTTTACGCTCTAAAAATCTATAATTCCTCAGCAGTTGGATGATTATGCAAGTCGATACACGATGACAACTGTTAACAAGAAGTATATGGAGATAACGAACAGTATTCAAGCTCAAAAGTCAAACAATACACATTAAGTTAACAATACAAATTTTGAAGCAGAGCAAACACGGACTTCTAAAACATCAGACGTGGGATCAGTTGCCATGGAGGAGTGAGCATCCCCTGCCGACCGGTCACACCCGCCGTGTGCCTTTTGTCATGATCGGGAAATAGAGAAATACCGACATCTTACGAACAAACGTAACTCACCCTAACTTCTCGTATCTCGGTAGTTTTCCAGGGACCAGTTATTGCACCTATATATAGATAAAAATTGGAACAATTAAGTAAGTATGTGTATAATAGAATGGATAGTGTTTTAATGACTTTGTAAATGATAATTTCTCCTGTCTAATTTTCTGTAATCACTTACAATGTAATTAAAAGAAGCAAGTATGCCATAATACCTAAGACGGATTAGGAAACACTTTTGTCATGCGTCAGTGATTATACGTATATATACTATGTGCGCTGTGTTCATTTGGGGGAAAAGTTACGTTATCATTGTTTTCCAACGTTACAGAAATCAGCCATCAAAAATCAGAAAATAGGTGACACTACTTCGGAAAATGTATTATTTTTAAAGTTGGCGCGCGTCGATGTTTGTGTTGGGGTCTAAGCTCAATTCATTGAATAAAATGTCCGTTTTCATTACATTTAACTAAATATATGAAATACAAATTTCCACGTACTACAATCCTAAAAAAAAGTGGGATGGTGCAATATTTGCATATTCAATAGGTCGGGAAACAGTTTTTTTTTCATATTGTGTCCAGTAAAAGAAAAAGTAACTTCATAAAGTAGGAAGGGTAGGTCCTTTTTACATATATAAAATATCACTTCAAAGAAATAAACGAGCATTCAGATAGTAGATAGTATCCTCTTGAATGATGTATTAAATGGCTATCTTCACTTAATTTATCTTGCGGCTGCTTTTCATTATATATGTAATATCTGTATAGATATATGAATTTAAAAAAAACCCTGCAACTTATGCCTTTGGGTAAGGTGGTATTTTTATTAATTTTCTTTGTACTCAAGTTATTTTCCATTATGCCATTGTTTGTCAAGCACGCATTATTCGTCAGAATATAAATTTACAAGATACACTGTATACGTACAGGGTAACCTTGACCGCACACAGTAATTTCGACCGAAGCTCCAACATATTAAAAAAAGCTATAATCGAAAGTATAACTTGCGTCATCTGTAAGGAAAAAAAATCATATTATCCTGTTTAAAAACAAGAAAAGAGTGATTCAAGTATACTGTGTTTGTGTGAATCGACATGATTTTTAATTTAACATGTATGTCAATTTCAGATATTAGTTTTTAAGCATCTTTAAACTGTGTTTTGTAACTATCTAACAAGGATCTGTCATTTTAATCATAATAATAAGGAAACGGATTAGTATAAGTTTTCAAACTTGTTTCCAAATCCTTTTTGATTTTTATACTACTTGCCTGTATTTTCTGCTTGTTATTTTCAAATAAAATATGGTTTAAACTAAGTATAATGGCAAAATGTTACGGTAGTTTTCAAAATGTGAATAATTTGAAGATATCGAGTGCACGACGCTGATTCACTGAGTTGTCAAGGTATGCTTCAAGTGTGTCTGCACACACAGGCAAATAAACCGAACAGACGAGTTTTCATTGATATGTAGAACTAGTTTCTACTGATACTTTTTGATTTTTTAATACAGTCATGAATTAGTGGTATTACTGAAAATTTATTGCGTCATTTTTCCTTAGTCGAATCAGAAACATACAATTTTCGTTTTTAGAAGTAGGAGGGGGTAGGGTGGGACCAGAGAAGACAATTGAACTTACCTGAAATAAAATCTGATAAGCAAAAAAATAAAGGGGGGGTTAACTCGAAAATCCTATTTCATATTGGAGGGGTGGGGGGTCAAACTTTTTTTTACAGAACAATATTTTCTTCATGCATTATATTATATGTAACCTAATTTGGCTGATACTATAAATGTCTGAAATTCTCACTCACCAATGCAGAATTCATGTGCACAGGGGCAACTTAGACCAATTTCTGTTCAGCTAATTTGCATTGCATAATAATTTGTAAAAACAAAATATTTTGAATTAAATATGCACGAGTTTCATTTGCAAAAAAATCTCATATATTTCACGTAAGGAATGGCTATTGATTAATTTTCATTCCATTCGCTATTGTCAGAGGTAATAATGCCTCGTAATGGCGAAGAAATACTTCGAAATACTATATTCTGCGAAAAATTAAACCTGGCATTAATATATATGTATCATACATGTAGCCATATCATGAATCGAGAGGGTGGGGGGGGGGGGGGCAACATATACTCATAGAACTAAAACTATTGTCAAAAACGCAATTCACTAAACTTATTTTTTTTCTGCAGAAAAAAGATGTACGTATACAATAAAAGCTATTAAACAAAACATTATCCGGTACTCACGATCGATCGAAATTGCAAAGATGGTTGAAGATACATCATTCTACCCTATATAATCAGTTAAAAAGTCTAATCAATAAAAACCCAACTTAACTACAAATTTTATAGTTACATGTACAACGTTTAGCCAGTAGCATGAACAGAAAGACCATTGTTTTATGTTTATTTTTCACCTCTCCCTCGCCCTCATTTCCGTAAGAGAGAAATAAGACATTTTTTTGTTTTCCTTTCATTTCCCTTTCCGGAACCCCTTTGCTCGTTTAAATGTCCATTGAAATGTTTTGTAGCGTCACGGTAGTAACACGACAAAAAGTAGTTTTCAGGTATCTTGCAGGGATTTTATCTATTGAAATCTTAATAACATTGAAGAATTCAATAATGCAACTGTGAATACGATGAACGATCCCCTTTTTTGGTTACGTTCGTTCGTAAGATGTCGGTATTTCTCTGTTAAAGGAAAAATCCGTCGACAATTCAGTGGCCTAACGATTAGTATGAAAAACGTCAGTTTACATATCAAATATTAAATGAAATAATCTTAAAGCAATTAAGAAAAAAAAAAGGTTTACAAAGCGTAAAAATTCAAAATGCAGATTACAATGTATTGATGAAAAAATATGTTCTCGTATTGAAGTTCAAACAAATAAATACGAACTACAAATCATATAATAGATCTAATGCTTTTCATTTCTCTTTTTCTCTGATGTACGTACATGTACGTGTACGTGCATGTATAGGTAGAGGTAAACGTTTTAATTGTTTTATTTCTTATATAGACGGAAAAAAGATAGATTTGAAATAAATTTGTATGGATAAAATAGAATAAATAAATTAACTAAGTATTGATTTAATATAATTTTTCTTAAGAAATGAAAAAAATATAAAATAAAATAAAGAAATAGTTCAATTGTAATCTCTTCAGTTACTACGTTTTTTTCCCTTGGTTTTGTTTTTTGTTTTTTGTTTTTTTAAGAACCAGTCTGAAAAAAAAATATACGTAATGTATAATTAAATGTCTGTACACATGTACATAAGATACAGTATATGAAAATAAAAATAAATACGTATGTAATTATCTGACAATTTAATGTTTTTAGGGAAATATACTACATAAATATTAAGTACTTAAATAGAAATAAATCTTAATCATACATAAACACTCATTGCTTATACTGTAAGTGTACAATGATTTTACACTGAAATGCAAACCGGCATGCTGACTGGTCGAAGTGCTGATTGGTCATCGCGTAAACCTGATTGAAAGCTCTGTTATATAATAGCGAAGGCCGGGCTCGCTTTCTAGGTGCGCTTGGGTTCGCTCTCGGCGTTCGCTCTAGGTCCATCCGGGATGTGCTAGAGGACCCTGAGCGAACCCATGGTTCGGTTGGGGTTCGCTTTCTGTAAGGTTGTGTCTGGTCGGTACTGTTTAACTTACTATAACTTCAAATTGTATAGGAAAGTAAGACTATGTGTGTTTAGCCATTACATACACGCGTATGGGAGCTTCTTACATCCAGTTAGAGATTGTATGATAGTCATAACTAAAACTCAGTTCGTTGTTCATAAATATCAATCATCAATTTCTAAAACGAGGAAAACTATTGACAAACAAGTTGAATGAAGCAAGGATATCAACAGTCTCGTTGAAGTCAACATTTCGCAAGTTGTGAAGTCACCATTTTGCGGGTGTGACCGTTCGGTTGGGGATGCTCACTCCTCCATGGCACCTGATCCAACCTCTAATGATTTTAGAGGTCAATGTTTACTCCGCTCCCGATTTTTATTGTTTGAAAAGATTTTGAGCTTGAATACTATTCGTTATCTAAATATTTCACAAAGAATAAATTTGAAATTTCTTTTGGGGTATTAAACATGGCAACCATTGCCAACCAATAAGAAATATCACATTTCGTCCTTGGTATGTTACAAAGATCTATCTCCATTATTTGGTTTCATTTCAAACTATGGTTTCTTTTATTTTGTAATGCATGTCTTAATAAAGATGAATGAATAAAATTTCTTTTGAATACTTTTTTTTTCAATTACATGTATAACGTACAGTTGTATGTAATAGTTGATTTCCAACAAATGTTTATCAGGCAATTAAAACATCAGGCCTTTAACGTTTGGAAACAGTTTTGAATTTTTTGCATTAAACTCTGAACATGTTGAAAATGCCATTCATCAAACATAAGGTCACGTTGCCATGGTACCCATGACACGAAGCAACTTTTTTTTCCTGATTTGAGTTTACGGTATTAAAGACATTCATCATAGAGAGTTTGGAGAAATTCTTAGACTATGTGCGTTACATAATTGCTCTATAAAATTTCAAGTCATTGCAGTGAATGGATCTTAAATAACACCATAAATATAAGTAAATATATCACGTATTCCGGTCTGCATTCAATGAATCAATTTCATTTTATCAGCTTTAGTTCCTAAAGTTAAAACAACACTTTTCCTGCAATATAAACATGGGTATACTTTTGCATGTTTGATGCTTCTTTCAAACACAGACTGTGGGAAACCTGGGCAGGTTCCGGAGGAGTTATGTCAAACGCTGTGGATATGGCAAAATACATGAACTTCCACCTGAGCAATAAGGACAAATACGGCAACACGTTCATGTCGGACAAAAATTTCGCTGCACTGCACCAGGAGCATAACAAATTGACCAATTCAGTTATTAACGAAATATCTGGGGAAGTAGAAGTACCAACTGTTGAAAATGGCTACGGACTTGGATGGAAACGAGGAAAATACAGAGGTATAATGTTAAATATCAGGCATTTATTTTCAAAGAGGTCTTTACCAAACTAAAACCATGTATACATTCCATTATCTTTTTTTTTTAAATCTGAAAATGTAAATAAGCTAGTTTTATTTGTTATGGGGGCAGCTGCAGATATTCTCAAACGCTCACTACTCCTTCTTTATGCCCCATTCCCTAAAACTTTATTAAATTAGACAAAATCTTTGCATTATAGACTTAAACATCTTATTTTCCGAAGTATAAGATGTAAATAATGCACATATTGTAAAATGAGCGAAAGTTTATCAGAGTTCAGTGCATGTTCATGCACGTGATTTTGATAGTTTCCATATACATCATCTCATAGTTTTGCAGAGCTATATTTTAGATTTCAAAGAATTTCACTGGGATCGCAAAAACAAACAGCAATCTGAATATAAACCATTCAGAATCTAGAATGTCCTCAAATTTATTTCTTATGAAAGCATGATGTAGAGAAAATTATTTACATAATCTCTGCGTTTGTGCGTATTTTCTAGACTCTTGACATTCATATTCTTAAAGGGTTTTAAAATATATAAAGTTATAACCTACAAAGTATCAGGCAATAGGAATTCAGAAAACATGCACGCATAACCTTTTATTCATTTCGATAGTATCTATCTATCTATCTATCTATCTATCTATCTATCTATCTATCTATCTATCTATCTATCCATCCATCCATCCATCCATCCATCCATCCATCCATCCATCTATCTATCTATCTATCTATCTATCTATCTATCTATCTATCTATCTATCTATCTATCTGATAGGTCTTTAAATTTCAGTCAATAAAATTCCAGCATGTGCATGCAAGTGTTTTCAAGAATTTCCATATACCACATATTATAGAACCATCTAAGTATTATGATAAAAAAAAAAAAAAAAAAAAAAAAAACAAGGCAGTTATCAAGATTTTAAGGTCACCTGAGTCACTCAAGTAACCTATTGCTGTTTGCTTTCATCCGTCGTCGTGCCTTATGCGATGTGTGTCGTCTGTTAACATTTGATCATTTTTAGCACCTTCTCTGGAATCGATGAATCAATTCTAACCAATTTTGACATAAAGCAGATATGAGTGAAGGGGAACAAATTTTGTGAATTTCTTGGTCCATGCCCCCCTCCCCTCTGCGGCCGGAGAGTTGGGGCTAAAACTTCTTCTTTACTCATGCACATCATGATTGTTATAGGCATTGAGTCCTTTATCAAAATTGTGAAATTCATGGCCCCAGGGTCAGAGGTTCCAGTACTAGGGCTGGGATATATCGATCATATAGTGAAAGTGCATTATTTGTTTGAAAATCCTCTTCTATGCTCCTTGGTATTTAACAAACTAACTAAGTGCATAGTTATGACGAGCAAGGTTGCCTTTTCCAAAAGTAGGAATTGTCCCTGGGTCAGAGGTTCTGGTGTTAGGATGAGGCTCTTTTGGTTATACTGGGAAAAGACAGTAATTCTTTGAAATCTTCTCTGCCCCTGGGTTTTAAACAGACTACATGTAACTAAGTACATAGCTATGATAAGCAAGGGTGCTTGTTCCAAAATTGTGAAATCATGGCCTTTGGATCAGGGGTTCTGGTACTGGGGGGTGGGCTCTGTAGATAATATAATGAAAATGCATTAATTCTTTGAAAATCTTTTTCTCTGGTTCTGGGTGTTATTTAAATAAACTAAGTGCATGGCTATGATAAGCAAGGATGCCTCTTCAAAATTGTGAAATTCATGGCCAAAGATGGGGGGTTTCATGAAAGGGTGGGTGTTCTTTTGATGATATAGTAAAAAAGCATAATTTCTTTGAAGATATTCTTTTTCGATCCGACTTTTAAAGCACAAAAACTAAGTCCACAATTTTGATGAGGAGGAGTTCTCCTTTCAGAGCTGTTTCATGGCCCCTGTGTCGGACTTCTAGTGAAAGTGGACAGGGGTTCTATTCATGATATAGTGAAAATGCATTATTCTATTAAATAATACTGTCTGCTCCTTGGCGTTGAGCAGAGTAGGTATGAACTCTGGTGCAGGCGTTTCGAAGTGTATTTGCAAAATTTATTATTTATAAGTATAAATTTTTTACCCAATGCATGTTACAATGTTGTATAATTACTGAAAAATGTATGTGGTCTCCAGCCACGTTTAGTTACAAAAGAAAGATCTAAGAAAACCCTCCCCCTCCCCTCGACAAAAAACCTGTTGGATGCAATGTAGTTATTAATTTAGTCTTTTTCAACCAGACACTCGGCTGTCTCCGTAAACTCCGAGCAGCAGAAAGTCTAGTATGGAGTCATAATAACGTTTGTAACGACAGAGGGTGTAACCTTGTTTCCATTTTTATATATGTTTCTTCTGTTGGATCGTTATTTTATATTAATAAACGGATCCTTCATGAGGGATATAAAAGGAGAAATAACAATAAAAATCGACGAAGTATATCCTACACCGGTAGAGTACACAACATACACTTTGGCTGCCAACAATAAGTTAAGCAAGACAGTGTATAACACACTCACCCATAACCGAAATGCAATACCGCAAACTTTTCCTTTCCAGCTGCTTCAACCAACATGCCTTCAACTTTGAAATTGTTTAAGTTGTTTTTCTGCCGATTTATCATAAATTTTTCAATTGTGAGGTGCGTTCTTTTTAGCCAATCACAAACTTTAGCACAATTTCGGTAAGCCTCGTTTTGGCGGTACAAACTGTATTGTGACTCTTTACCGGACTCTCTGCTCGTCGGAGTTTACGGAGACAGCCAATTGTCTGATTGAATGAGACTATTATTAACTTGATAAATTATAAAAGCAGAACCTGAACTAATCAAATAAAACTATTCTATTATTAAATGAAAAAGAAGAAAATAAATCCGTTTACAGAAGTCAAACACAATCAATATTATTCAAAATCAATAACTGAGGTTATATTGCAGTAATATAAGTAGTTTTTAATATATAAGTAATGCATAAATACTAAATAAATGCAATAAACATAATAAATAAACTATTGTAAAAAAAATATTCTTTAAGGAATTGTGAATGACAAATATACATGAATATTTCTTTTTTCAGTGCGTAATTTAGACTCTAGTGAAAAAGTTTGTACATAGACGATCATAGGCATAGAGGATTACAAACGAAGTGACAACTACCTATTAATTAATATTGAAGGTTGAATATTTCTATACTTATATATTACTGGTATAGCGAGTTTTAAATTAAAGGCGTTGCGGAAGATTGTCACACTTAATTAATCTATGATTAATCCATAATAATTTAAGTAATGTCCGAGAGATTCAGAATAGAAAATCTAGATCGAGGCTTAAGCTTGAGAGAATCATGTAGAAAGCATGTGATCAACGTGTACAAAGCGTTTCATGTAGTCTTTTATGTAAACCGTACAGCATTTCGTGCAAAGCGTTTCGTGTAAACCGTGAAGCGTTCCGTGCAAGCCTTGAAGCGAGCAAAGGACTTTTCACGATCTGTAAAATTCAAAATATTCAAAATGCGAATGCATCAAAATTCAGGTAATAAAATTTATCTTAATCCTTAAATGAAACAATCTTTGTATTTATTACTTTAGTTCAATATGTTTCCGATATAAATAAACAATTTTTGATCAATTACAGTTAAACAAACTCACAGAAACTCGACCAATAGACCAATCCTCATTTTTTGTTTTCTTTCCTATTCACTGCCATTTGTAATATATGAATCCCTAAACTAAACAGATCAATGTAGAAAAACAAACATAAAAATCATAAGATAGATAGATCAAAGTTACATAAAATCACAAATTTAAGTGATTAATCCAGAAGGCCGGAAAATGACCTCATGAATCATGCTTTCTTTTTTCTTTCTAATATTCGGGTCTTCAAAAAGTGTACACAGGATAAACAAGCAAGGTGTACTTTCTGCGATTCAATTTCAATTCTTTTTTTTTATTTTCTTAACCAGATCACTGGTACAAGAGATACATATATACAAACAAAAATATCACTCAAGGGTAAAAAATAGATATATAAAGAAAAAAGAAAAAGAATGAAGTAAACATAAAATCAGTTATATTTATGGAGAATTCAAGAAGGACAGACAGTTTTGAATATTTTCTTAATAAATCTTGACAATGATTTTTCTATTTCTACATTATTTGTGTTCATAAGTTCATTAGATTTGAAAGTGTTAGGATTTTCACAATATCTATTTTGGAAAAATATTTTTCTGTCATTTGAAAAGTACTTGTATTTCATAGCATAATGTAATTCATCACCAATAGTTTTACAATCACAAATGGTACATATTATTAATTTTCTATCAATATTATTCCATCTACCTGTTTCAATTGGCAAATGATGTTTATATGTTCGTAGTTTTTAAGTGTAACTCTTTAATCTTTTGGAAAATTCAGAAAATATACACTTACTCAAAAGTAAGGGACCATCACTCTTTTGAAAAATCTTTAAACTTTTCATTCTCTTAGACCAATCAAATTAATTATTTAATTTTTGTTTTTAAATCTGAGTAGATCTAAACTCTCCTTAGTCAATGCATGTTTCGAAATCATCAGATAACTAATCTGTTTTATGCGAATGATAATTTTCCAAGAAAAGAATACAAGTCAAAAAATGTAGAATTTAAAGTTTCACTTTAATTTGTTGTTGACAAAAGTTGCTAGCAATAAGCATGTTTAACTTTATTGGCATTTAAAGAGTCATCAATTTTCAACATTTATAAGCAAAGATATTTAATAATGTGTATATCCACCACGACTTTTGTACAGTTCTTTTACACGCCTTCTCATGCTGTGGACAAGTCGTCTTAGGCGGTTTTGGGGGAACTGTCTCCATTCCTGAATTAAAGCGTCTTTTAATTCCTGTAAGTTTTCACATCTTGGGGTCCTCTGATTAATTCTACGACCAAGATAATCCAACACATGTTCAATTGGGTTCATATCTGGGGACATGGCGGGCCAGGGCAAAGTTTCAATGGCTTCTTGGCAATGATAGTCTTTAACTATTCGGGCCCGATGAGGTCTAGGGTTGTCATCCATTAGTACAGGTCGACTTGCTAATGAATGAGCATCGAAATGAGGCACAGCTATTTGGCTTAGTATGTTGTCCCTGTACTTTTGAGCAGTTAAGGTGCCATCAAGAATGTGCAGCTCCAGTTTACACCGCAAAGAGAAACATCCCCATACTGTTACTCCGCCTCCACCAAAGGCTTTTGTTTCCAATATAATTTGTTGTTTGTATGCGGAATTTGGGAGTCTCCATACCCGAACCCTGCCGTCTACTGGGTGAGCAAAATTCGGCTTTCATCTGACCAATGTATTCTCTGCCACGACCGAATGTTCCACCTCCTATGCTGTCGTGCCCATGGTAATCTTGCTTCTTTGTGTCTCTGGGATAAGAGTGGACGTTTTATTGGCCGACATGATCGCATTCACTCCTTGTTTAGTCTCCTGTTAACTGTGCTTCTGCTGATTCGAACTTGGGTGTTCCATTTGCTTCTCAGAGTGTTTGCAGTGTCAAAAGGACTCTGTTAAGCTAGTCGTTTTAGAAGTCTACCTTCCCTCTCTGTAGTCTTTCGGGGTCTTCCAGATCTTTAAGCTTCCTCCACACACCCCAGTTCTTCTCCAGCGCTGTACCAGACGCAAAATTACAGTGTGACTGACATTAAAGTGTTCGCCAACCCTTGTATACGTCATTCAGTTCTTACCATTCCAATGGCCTGCCAGCCTTCAGCATCCGAGAGTTTCCGACGAAGCATGGTTGCACAAAACTTATAACTTTTTTTTTCTATCAGTTAAGCTCATGCGAACATGGATGTGAATACAATTGAAAACTGCATTGTTCGAACACGCATTGGTGGCCTTGAAGAAACCGGTTTTACAAGTATTTGAATGGAGATATCAATGTAACATAAAAACAAATAATAAATAAACGTTTGATTGACTAGTAAATCTGGATATATTCAATCAGAAATATTTTTTTACTTTTAATTTTCATATCAAAGTTGGTGGTCCTTAACTTTTGAGTAAGTGTATAATTTTCGAAACCAAAGTTTTTTGAAAATTCTATAATTAATACATTTGGGTGAACTATCAACAATGCTTCTCCTTTCTTGTTCAAATTAATTTTTAGGTTTTATTTAATAATTGACTTAAGCAAGTTAAAGCTATGAAATGTTTGACTTGTCCATATGTAAGATAATCAACAAGAATTAAGAATATATTGTACACATTTTATCTATGGGTATACAAAAGACCCATTCATATAACATCTATAAATTATAAATAAATTACATTGTAATTTTACTTTCATGGGCTGTTAAAATATTTGCCCAGTACATAACCAATTCTAATTTTGTAGAAATTAACAGTGGATATCTACCTGCTTCTCCATGTACCATACAATTTGAGGTACTACATTTAAGGTTAAGAATAAATTTCAGAAATTTTAAGTGTACTTTTTATTATTATATCTAAATTTTCATATCACTAGCCTCACAAGAATAAAGCAAAATTGGGTTGATGACTTTATCAAACAAGTCTACCTGACAATTAATTGGTAAAATAGCGAATTTTACGTAAAACTCCATACATGGCTTTTGAAGCTTGTTCTTCCTTTTTTTTTCTTTTTTTTTAAACTTTCCACTTCTTGACAGAAATAAACCCACGTAACAGAATTTTTTCACATGCTCAATAGCCACACCATTATATAAAAAATTTCGTGTTTTGATAGGACCTTAAAATATAAGGACTTTTGCTAGGGCTATGTTAACACGAAGTTTCCATAAATCACCGTTTTCAGCAAACACATCAAGAGACTTTTATAAATCAGAAGCAGATTCATACATTAAGACTTTATCATTAGCATAAAAACGTACACATAGTTTCAACATAACAAACATATTATCTTGCATTTGTTGACTAGAACATGTAAAACCATTTATTTGATTTCTAGATAAATAATCTTCTAGGTCATGAATGAACAATGAAAATAAAAAAAAAGGTGATAAATTTCCCCCTTGTCTAACACCTACATTACACATAAAAAAATCTGATAATTGTTGACCTATTTGTACCTTTGATTTAATGCCCTTATACATGTACATGTTTGAAATAAATCTGAAACATTTTCCATCAATTCCTCTTTGTAAAATTTTGTTTCATAGACCCTCTGTCTCCAGATCGTATCAAACACTTGCTTGAAATCTATAAAGGCACAGAATAATTCTTTTTATTATTCAGGGCATATTTGCTCAGAAAATCAATAACGGTTATATTATTAGCAATAGAGTAACCTTTTCTAAAGCCTGTTTGAGATTCATTAATTAACTCTACCTTATCAGCATTTAAGTATTTAAACAATCACATAGTATACTGGTGAAAACTTTTCCTAAACAACTAAGTAACGTAAATGGTCTGTAATTTTCAGGATGGTTTATGTCACCTTTACCCTTATAAATAAGTTTAACTAACCCTATTAACCAATCCTCTGGTATTATGCCAATATCAAAAATCACGTTGAATAATTCTACATAAAGAGGAAGAAAGCTTGAAATAGTTGTTTTCATATACGCGTTTACAACAGAATCA